TTTTTCAAACCTTCTCTTTTAAGTTAGTCTAACGTTATATAAACATTTTCTCTCAAAGTTCAAATATATATATATATTTATATATATATATATATTTGAACAAAAAGCAGCAAGATGAGAACTACACAAATCAGCAAGAATCAAGGCATAATAAAATTATCCGAGGTGGATTTTGTTGTTGTCCCTTTCATTTAAATTTAAGTGGCGGCATCTAAAACTCAACAACAAACCAAGGAAGCACTACTTTTATTCCAGCTTTAACTTCTGAGATTCCAAAGTAATATCCTTTTTTCTTTTATGGGCAATGTGTGGAGCAGATTAAAAACAAACAAACATTAACAACCCTTATGAGGGAGAAGAGAGAGAATGATTTGCATGTAAATTCAGCTTACAGATGAGAAACTATGGAGAAACTTATTCAGTATTTTGGAACGCTACACTTCAGTTTGAATTGTGAAATTCCTTAAATGACTAATAAAATCCATTCATCCATCCATCTGTACATACATACATCCATACATACATTGGGGTTCCACATGGCTCTATTTTAAGTCCCGTGCTTTTCTCCCTTTACCTGCTTCATTTGGGATCAGTCCTCAGAAAGCATGGGATCTTTTTTTCACTGCTATGCTGACGATAGTCAGATCTATATGCCACTAAAAACAAAAGTTGCCCCTTCAATTAGGCCACTTCTTTTGAGTCTTGAAGAGATCAAAGCCTGGATGTCCTTAAACTTTTTAAATTTTAATTAAAGGAAAACAGAAGTGATGGTGTTTGGTCCTAGTGGCTCTTGTGAACTTTGCCCTGTTGATCTGGGTCCTCTGGCACCACATGTAAAGAAAACAGTTTTTAACTTGGGTTTTAAAATGGACAGTGATTTTAAATTAGATTTCCAGATTGGAGCGGTGGTTCAAGACCAGTTTTTATCACCTCAGACAGCTGGCTAAGGTAAAGCCCATCCTCACACAACAGCAGCTGGATGCCTTTGTCACCTCTCGGCTGGATTACTGCAACACTCTTTACCTTGGAGTCAGCCAGTCCTCCCTCAGACGCCTCCAGTTGGTCCAGAACACTGCTGCTCTTCTAACTGGAGTTCAAAAGAGGGAGCACATCACCCCCACTTTGACTTCACTCCACTGGCTGCCTGTTCATTTTAGCGTTTATTTTATTAGTTTTAAAAGTTTAAATAGTCTTGCTCCATCCTACCTCTCTGAGCTGCTTCACCCATACTCTCCTGCTCGGTCCCTCAGATCAGCTGATCAGCTGCTCCTGAAGGTGCCGAAGTCCAAACGGAGGCTCAAAGGGGGCAGAGCTTTTTCTGTTGCTGCTCCAAGACTGTGGAACGATCTCCTCCTTCCCAACAGACGAGCCCCTTCACTGTCCAGTTTTAAAATTCTTATAAAAACACATTTTTACTCACTGACTTTTAGCACAAACGGAATTTGCTCTGCACTGTTTTTATCTATCTTAATGTTTTAACAACTGGGTTTTTTATGTGTTTAAACTTTCTTGATTTTATGTTCACAGCACTTTGTTGCAGCTGTGGTTGTTTTAAAGGGCTTTATAAATTAAGTATTATTATTATTATACATACATTTTATTTTACCAACTTTTTCCTTGTCAGCTCTACAACTGCTGTTCTGCTATGCCACCAGAGAGTAACATAATGTCTTCCAAAATCTTCCAATCCCTATTCGACAACAGTGAATTCAGTTAGAACAGCTTAGAACTACTCCACTCTTCCTTTTAATAGATAGTCAATTAAATAAAGAATTTTTACTAACAGAGTTCAGGACAATGTGGCACATCTGATGTAATAATCTTAAAATACTCTACAAGAAGCATTTGCTTACTAAAATATAGAGTAAATTGTTTTCACAAACAATAACAGTTACAGGTTTTTGTGATAAAAATATATATTTTAACATCATGGTATTAGCAGTTTACCCACTTTGTTAAATAATTATATAAATATATATATATATATATATATTTATATTTATTTATTTATTTATTTATTTATTTTACCCTGCATGTGAATTGTTTAGGTTAAAGTTTGTGATTTAAATTCATTCTTATGGTCTGATTGTTAATGAAGATAAAACTTGATCTGTTTGCCTGCAGAGGCTCCTCAGGACTGGTCAGATCATGCCCTGTGGTGGGAACAGAGGAAGTGCTGGCTGCTCAAAACTCACTGGACTTTGGACAAGTATGGAATTCAGGTAAATCTCCCTCTCATGAAATGTTGTGGACAATAAATTTATATTGATTGATTGATTGATTGATTGACTGATTGATTGATTGATTGATTGATTGATTGATTGATTGATTGATTGATTGAAAATAATTCCTAGTTTTTCACCAAAGTGAATTCAGAGTCTAATGGCCCTTATGTATTGTAAGGCCTGGCCTTGCCCAACCCAGCTTCTGCCCTGGGTTTTAAGTGTTGGCATTAGACAGTCTGGCCCAGTTCCAGCTCATTTTTTGGGACCAGAGACCTGGGGTTCCATTCGGGCCGGACTGATGCTACAGATCTGATATCAGCAGGCTGCTGGTCATTGACTAGTTTGCTGGCCCAGGCGGTCACGTCACAGACGAATCCTACTTCCTGGACCAGGCTTTACAACGTATAAGAGGCCTAAAAAAGATGGTTCCAGTGGGAGTGTGTTCTGTTTAACAGATAAATCCTGTATGTCTGTTCTACTCCAGTGGTTTATAGCTGCTCTGTTACATAAAACGATATCCTCATGCTAACAGGCTGTTCATTTTTATAACCATGTGGTGCAGCAGGAACCATCTGTTTGACTTCATGTTTGACAGTGTTGCTCAGTACAAAGAATGCGCCTGAACAGTTCAAATGAGGGCAGCATGGGCGTCCTTACCGCAGCAACAAAACTGTGTTAAAGAAATTTGGAAAATGTGTTCAAATGAAAATAGCACGCATCAAATGAAAGCTGCTTTTCTTCAACGTGAAAAAGAGAACATTTTTGAGCACAATACAGTTCCCTTAAGAACACGCGAGAGTAAGTGCAAACACTGGAGGAGAAGATCTTGATTTTGTTGAAGTTGGTCCAATTTCTCTTTTATCTGGTTCCATAGGCTGATGCTGACCTGCGCTACACCCCCCAGCACAAACCGCTGCTGCTGCAGCTCCCCAACATGAAGACCATCAGGATGACCGTCTGCTTCTCCAGCGTGGTCTTCAAGGCAGTGTCAGAAATCTGCAGGGTTCTCAGTGAGTTTCTCTGATCCTGAAGATCCCACCCACTTGTGTCAGTCTGTCAGGAGAAAATAGGACACATCATCTTTAAATATTCTGATTCCTGTTCACTCTCTACTTTTCCTCTCTGCTCCATCTCAGACATCAGAAGATCAGAGGAGTTGTCTTTGCTGAAGCCTCCAGATGATCCCTCCAAAAAGAAAAAGAAGAAAGAGAAGAATTCGCCTCAGGAAGACATCTGGGACATATGGGATTCACTTAATGGGGGGCCAGGAGGAACAGGTACTGCAAATTTTATCAACGAGGCTGAAAACAAAGTTGTTCCTGCAGATAAAGGCCTGTTTATGAGATGAACCAGTTTAAAGATTAAACAAACTAGTTGACCTCGAGGACAACTGAACACATGACATGATCATGTCTTTCATATTGATAATCAAGGTTCACGGTTCTTTATTTTCATTCTCATCACATGTGGTGCATGAGATGGATCGTAATTGTGTACTCACAGTCCCAGTTATACCCCAAAATAGCAAAAATATAAATTATAAAAAGAAACAGTATACAAGGATCTAAGATATACGCAAAAATATATATAATATAATACTGTATATTAAACAGCAGCTTGAACATGAGTCTGTTGTGAGCAGATGGGTACGTATACAGCAGCTTAAAGGCAAGAAAACAGCATCATGGATAATCAGCATCACAGATAAAGTGACAAATCACCAATTAAAGTGGCATTACAGTGATTATTCTGGTTAGAGATTCATGAGTCTAACAGCCTCAGGGTAGAAGCTGTTCCTCAGTCTAGTGGTTCTACACTTAATGCTCCTCAACCTCCTGCCTGAGGGGAGCG